GCTCTCAGAACAACTGAGACACCTGGGACCCCCATGTTTAGTAAGAAGAGGTACATCGAACTTGTCACTTCTTCAGTTCTTTCCTATTTATGAGAGAGAAACCAGAGAATTGAGAATATGGTCAAGGGCACCACCAACAACTCAAGGGAAGAACAAGTACAGAAACCAAGTGACCCGAGCAGGCCGTCTAATTAGGGACCCCTACTGCCATGACAATCCTGTAGCCAAATGAGACTCTGAAATCTACTTCTACAGGTAGTCAAAGCCTGATGGGTCACAAGGACAAATCAGTCTCAGGAGACACACGGCCAGAGTCCTTGGCAGCAAGGGTGGAGAGCCCTCAGCCTCCTTACTTTGTATGTCTCACCAGAAAAGACCAATCGCTAGACAAGAATATGATGTCGGGGAAAGTAGCGGGCTTCCATGACCGACAACATAAAACTTCCTCAAACAAAACCTTTATTTCTGTCCAGAGAAGAGGAAAGGAGACTTTGAGGCTATTTCAGGTAGGACATTAGTGCCACAAAGCAAGATAAGGGCACAGGAAGGGATCACGTTCCCATTTTTTTCAAACAGGGTGTTCTCTGTGCAAAGTCAGAGCTCAGGTGACCTGCCAGCCCTTTGGGGATGTGCCCCTCTCTTGGCAGTGCTGCACTGTGTCCACTGTCCAGACAGCAGCATTCAGGAGCGAGCACCTCATTGTTAGATGTTTAGTGTTATCCTGGGAGCCCCCGAGGGGACAGTGGATGGCTCAGCTACAAACGAGGAGACTACAGTTCGAGTCAACCCAGAAGTGCCTCTGAAGGAAACCCTGTCATCTGTTTCTGAAAGGTCACAGCCACTGGACGCCCCACGGAGCAGTGCCCCACGGAGCACACTTCTACTCAGACACCCGTAGGCTGCCACGAGCCGGAGTCGAATTGACAGCACCTGGCTTAATGTCATTATACACACACACTCATTTCATATGCTTACAGATGATGTTCATGTATTTTAAGTGCATATGAAATTACATGTAGTGGTTAAGGCATACGGCTGCTAACCAAAAGGTCAGTGGTTCAAACCCACCAGTCATTCCATGGGAAAAAGATGAGGCAGTCTGCTTCTGTAAAGATGGATAGCCCCGGAAGCCCTGCGGGGGTGGCTGTGAGTCGGAGATGAGTTGATGACAGTGGGTTTGTTTTGCTTTGGATGAAATCAGGTGTGGGCTACAGGTGCTGGGCTCCGTTATTGTCCACAGATAGAGAGAGAGAAGCCAAAGGCCTTGTCCTCATGGACTCACATTCCAGTGGAGGGAAAAAAAAAAAAAAAATTCCAGCCAAGAAAAATAGCAGCTAATTCCTCTGCAGAAAATTAAACTGGTGGGGTGTGAGGGTGGGTTGGGGTGAAGGGTTTGGATGACAGATTGTTTAGGAAAAGTCAACCTCCTAGAGACTCCGAGTGTCCCAGGACCTCAGTGGCCTCAAGCCAGGCGGGCTCCTCTGCCTGAACCGTCTGGGGTTCAGATGCCACCTGCTGTCCCGCCCTCAGGTGCTCTCAGGTGGACCTTCCCTTAATGCTTAGCCCCCACGACCACTCAATGCCCCCTAACGACAACAATGGTTAGCTCAGTCATCCAGGTGGAAATGAAAGTCTGAGAAAGAGAAATGCCAAAACTTCTCTGCCCCATCCCTACCTAGGAGGGGGACCTCAGTCTGGCTGTTACTGCCTCATCCCCTGTGGGGGGCCCTGCTCCTCCCATTGCTGGGTGGGCTGGTACGGAGCGTGCCGACACCATGTCATGGAGGAAAACACCAGCTTTGTCCAAATGAAGGGACTGGCTTTGCCAGGCATCCTGCAGTCTCTGCTAATCCCCCACTTCCCGGGCCTGCATTCTGGTCCCCACCCTGTGTTTTACCTCTGCTTTTGTGAGGGCACTGTTCCCTCTCTGCCCTGCCTGTCTGCAGTGACACTGAGGCTCTTCTGAGTGAAGTCGCAACGGCAGCTCATGACGAAGAAACGGCAGGTCGTGGTGAGGGAAGGGGTGAGCATAATATCTGAATGAGTCATTCTGTCTCGTGTTTTCCTGACTCAGCCAGAGACAGCCACACGGGAAGCTGCTGCCGAGCCCACACTGACACCACAGGTAGTTTGTGCTCCTGCCCCACAGAAGCAGCCACTAAGTCAGCAATGTCCATGGAGGAAACACAGGCTGAATTGGGGAGCCGTCAACAGAGGACCAAAGCAAAAGCCCCAAGCTTGTTACTACTGAGTCAGTCCCAGCTCGGGGGGACCCGATGCGTGTCAGAGCAGAACTGCACGCCTTAGGGTTTGCAATGGCGGTGACATCAATGGATGCAGGTTTCCAGGCCTTTCTTCCATGGCGCCACTGGGTGGCTTCAAGCTGCCAACCTTTTGGTTAGTAGCTAAGCACATTAGCCATTTGTGCCACCCAGGGCCCTTCACTGGAGGACCAAGGGCCCCCAAGAAGCTTTGTTCATCAGCCTCCAGTTACCACTGGATACTGGACAACAGGGCCCCCCCCACTCCGAGCTCCGCCGCCCCCCGTTAATACTCTCGTCTCTGTCCACGGTAACTCCTGGCTCACTCTCCTGCCTTCACTGTCAGACCCCAGGGCCTCCAGGGCCTCAGCTCTGCCTTTTTCTTGGTATCCCCACCACCTGGGATATGGTCTGGACTGGAACAGGTGCTGAGAAGACCCTTACTCCTCCTAGCCCCTACTCAGAATCTGAGCCACCATCCTTTCTCGCTGGGTCACTGGTCACCTCTTAGCTCCACTCCTTGCTCTCCTCAACACAGAAGCCCAGGGGTGCTTTCAGGATGTAAAGGTGACCATGCTGCTGCTACACCCAAATCCTCTAGGGACCACACTGTAGCCCAACGTGAGGCAGCCGGGGGAACATTGCACAACCAAACATGGGATGAAACGTCAGGAGTTACTTTTCAGGCATTTAGGTAGGTTAATGGGGTTAGGGTTCTTTTCCTTTCAGGACTCAGAGGTGATATGATGTGATGATGTCTGCGATTACTTCAAACTCATCCAGTGGTGGGTGGGTGTGGGTGCTGTATAAATGAAACAAGTCGTCCCTGTGTTGCCAAAAGTTGAAGCTGGGTGTAGAGTACATGAAGGTTTAGTTCACCGTTCTACCTTTCTATGTTTGTTCTTTGCACAATGAAAAGTTTTTTAAAAAGCCTACAATGTCTCCACATTTCAGTCACAGTAACTACAATGGCCCATGAGGTGCAACACAGACTTATTCCCAGGGCTCTACCTCCTCTGCTTCTGAATCAACTCAATGACACACAACGACGACGACGACTGCCCCTGCTTCCTCTCCTCCAATCACACAGGTCTCTGTGCTCACACATGCAGCTGCCTCAGGGCCGTCGGCCTGGCTGTTCTCTCAGCCTGCATCCTCTTCCCCCAACTCACTTCTTTAGATCAAAATAAACCCAGTTACTGTTGAGTTGATCCCAACTCATGGGGACTCCATGTATGGCACAGCGTTGTTTTAAGGGCTGATTTTTCAGAAGCAGACAACCAGGCCTGTCTTCCTAGGTGCTTCTGGGTAGACTAGAACCACCAACCTTTTAGTCAGCAGCAAGTACATTAACCATGTGCAGAGCCTGTTCCAGTGCAGTGGTCTCAAGGGGGCCTTTTTATATCACCAATTTAAACGTTAATTATAGTGCTTTCTTTCCCTTGTCTCCTAAATTATAAATATCATGAGAGCAGGGGTCTTTGTTCTGCTCACTGAATTATCCCACTCGCCTAGGACAGTGTCCGACACCTGGTAGATGCTGAATAAATTTTTGATTAACAGATGGTTTGTGGAAGGAAAGAAAAGGGGAAAGAGGAAGAGCAGCCGATCTGTGAGCCATCCCTCTCACTGAGTTACAGAATCTGCAGCCTAAGAGACAATAATGGTGACTGGGGCAGCCCCCACTCCCACCCATCTGGACGTGGTCCTTTGGCCTCTGAACAAAACCATGCAGAGGCAATGAGCTCTCTGCTCCCCAGGGCAGTCCCTCCATCTTTAGTGCCCATAGGACAACTGTCTGTATGTCTTAATAAAAGAGGGCCCAAGTTGAAGGGTGAGAATACATGTGGGTTGAGTCTCTACTATGTGCCAGGCACCACCATGGGAACTGGGGACACAGAGTTGAATCTGGGTCCCAACCTAGTTTGCTGTGAGGGCAGCAAGGAGGGTACCTAACCCGGGTGTTGTTTTACGTCCTTCTTTCTTAGAATGAAAGGAGTTCTGGTGGCGTAATGCCTAAGGCATTTGACTGCCAACCAGAAGGTTGGTGGTGCAAACTCATCACCCACTCTGCAGAAGGAAGATGGGGCAATCTACTTCCATAAAAATTGACTGTCTCTAAAACCCAATGGGGGATGCTATGAGTCAGAACCAACTCAATGGCAGTGAATTTGGTTTGGTTCTTAAAACGTATGGCATTGTGCCCATAGTTGTGCTTACTGGTGAATCAAAGCCCATTTGCGGCATATTATCTAGGTAATTAAAGTAAATTAATTAAATAGGATGCCATGAGAGATTATGATACCCAATAATAATATGAATGTTTGGATTAAAGTACCTGAAAGCATGGTAGAAGATTCCAAGCCTTCCCTCCATTTTCTCTTGTTCTCAAGACTTTTTTAAGCATCACCTCCTTCAAGAAGCCCTAGCTGATGCCCAGGCTGGGCCATTGCCCTGCCTTCTCTAAGGACTGAGCTTGCCTCTGCTAAGACTGATCAGACAGGGATGTAAATATCTTACTTTATGACTCAAGGCAGACAGCTGACTCATCTTTGTTTGCCCAGTTCCCAGCTCAAGACCAAGTACATCATAAGCCATCAGTCACATTCGATGACCTGAATCTAACTCTTCATCCTAATTCCACCACTTCTGACAAGCTCCACCTCCTCAATCTGAGCATCTAAAATGGCCACCAGGGATAGCAGGGAGTTAGGGCATGGGAAAGAGAAGACAGTCTACTTACTCGAAGACCTTGCAAACCAGGAGGTCCATCCTTGCCTTCTGGGCCCACTGGACCCTTTAGGTGGGGGAGAAAAAAAACAAAGAGAGCTAGTGATAAATGCAGGATTCAATAGCAGAGGTTATGTGCTTTCCACTCACTCTTCTTGGATGGAGACATACTAACCTGTTTCAATGGGGAAACTGAAGGTCAGGAGGGAAAAGGTATCTTACTCTTTCAAATAACATGTGCACTGATCTCATCAAATTGAATACTTTTAACAACCAAGGCACAAGGAACAATATTCACACTTTATAGATGAGCACTGTAGGATCAAATGGCTTGCATTAGCACTTTGCATAAAGTGCACACAAAAGTATTGTCTGGAACCCAAGTGTCTTTAACTCTAAGCTCCTCTGCCCTTTTCCTATAGCTTCCAGGCTCAGAAAGAATTGGTTTGGGTTGCCTGATGCTCAGTCAACAGCAATACACAAAATACTATGACAGTCTTGACAAAGAAATAAAATGGTCTAAGATCAGCTTTAACTAAACCAAGAAACATTGGCTCAGAGACAAGTCAAATCTTGCTCCTTCACCCCATCAGGCATTTGGTGCATGATCTTAGGCAAGTCATCTGACATTGTGGGACACCAGTTAGCTCATCTATGCAGTGGACAAAATACTCCCACCTATGGAGTGGTCGTGAGGACCATATGAAGACTCTATACAAAAGCCCTGGTTGCCAGTGCCCTGAGTTATATCCGAATGCTGGCACCTAGAATAGGCATGGGATGTGAGCAGACATGCAAAACTAGGCTCTAGCTCTGAATCCCCATCTTGCTGGTTGAGTTTTGGCCAGCAGCTACCTCTCTGCACTTCCATTTCCTCCTCTTCAATACATGCCATTTTCACACTAATAACTATTATTGCCAAAACAAGCTGCTAAGTGAATTGTTTTTAGGACCCAAACAGCCTTGGTGGCACCAGGGTGAAGCATTTCGCTGCTAACCAGGAGGCCGGTGGTTTGAACCCACAACTGTTCCATGGGAGAAAAGCAATCTGTTCCCATAGAGATGACAGTCCAGGAAACCCTCTGGGGGCACTTCTAGTCTGTCCTGCAGGATTGCGGGGTTGAAACTGACTTGACAGCATCCACCTCCAACAGCATTAGGACCCAGCTCTTTTCTCGTCACACTCTTATTACTGCCAGTGGCTGGGGAGTTGGTTCTGACTCATGATGATGTCATGTGTTGCAGAGTATAAGTCTGCACTCCGCAGGGCGTCCGCGGCTGGCACCTTTTGGACGTGCATCACTAGACCTTTCTTTGAAGGAGCCTCTGACTGGGTTCAAACTGCCAACCTCTCATTTAGTAGCTGAGCACAAAACTTTTGCACCACCCAGGGAACTGTTTCTCTCTGTAACACCTAGTAAATGATGGGCGGACAGATGGACTGCCATCAGGAACGGTGCACATCCTTCCTCCTTACTAGGGG